CTAAGCTGGCAGTCGGACATCCCCTAAGGGCTCCCGGACTGCAAGAGGGCACAGGCTGGGCTGAGGGACCCCCGAGTCCATGAATTTCATGCACTGCGCCTCTAGTTATTTATGATAGTCTTCAAACAAACTCAGCTATCAATGTTTGGGGATTTTGAAATAGAAAAAAAGGTCAAAGTTTTAATGAAGGGAAGGCAAATTTAAGAGCTTCTTTGCCTCTAGACCCAAATTGGTAAATTTAGAAGTCTTTTGGGCTTTCAGATAGGAATAATTTTTATATTTGTGTTTGGCAGGACTCCTTTAGTTACAAATAACAAAAAAACTTTGTCTTAAAAAGGAACTTAATGGTATCTCATACTTTCAAAGGAAGGGCAAGAATGAGTTTGTGCCTCATGAAATAACTGGAACCTAGGACTTTAATCTTGTCAGGACTCTGTCTTGCTCTATACTTTATTTCTTTCTAATGTCACAACACCTGGCACATAATAGATCACTTAACAAGTGTATTTGAATGAGTAACTAAATCTTAACCTAGGATAAATTCTAGGAAAGCAAGGTAAAGCTGATTCTATTAATCTATTTTTAGATGATCTACTAAGCTAGCAATGTTTCTTTTTATGAATCTTTCAATTAGGAACACTTTGCCTTTTAATGACAAGTCTGATGCCAAGGGTCTCATAATTAGCAACTAACTACCAAGACTTTCAACTTCATAGTGTTAAACCTTGTATTTGACTCCTTTCTGGACTTCATTGTATATCATATGAATGATATTGTTTGTTTTAATCAATTCTGTTCAAAACCCCAATAGAAATATTAACTTTAGAGGGTAATATCATCCCATGCTAAGAGAAAGGAGAGATGAAACCCACACACTTGCCAAGATATTCAGAAAAAAACAACACAGGTACATAACTAGCATTTCTCCAGAAATGGACTGTGTGTTGCCATTAACTATTATAATGGAGCCTGACAGTTAAGTGATTAGGCTGCTAGCATATCAGGAAGTAGGATATGTGTGGAGAAAAATCAGATAAGTACTTTAACGATTTCGAATAAGGAAAAGTCCTCCTGAAACAACAGGTAGGTCCAAGCCCCTAACCACATAATCTGTAATTGAGAGGCCACACCGTAATTTGTAAGCCAAATAAAAGCAGTTTTTAGAAATGCTCATGTGAAATGTCTGGATGAATTCATGAAAACTCTCAGACATGATTTCTTTTCTCTAGGTAGGGAAAAAAGACGTATCTACAGATATTCAAGCAGGGGATAGGATAATTTGTCCAAAGGAGTTGTTCTGGGAAAAGAGGGAATGATTACAACATAGATAGAACGTGAAAGTCTTGAAGATAAAGAGATAACTCAGAATTTCTAGTAATTAATTAGGTAGTCACGTAACAGAATCTGGACACAGAAAATTCTGTGATTTGAAAGCTAAAAGGGAAAGTTATCTATTTTTTACTTCTGCTAAGTGGTTTGTTATAATCCAGAGATCTCTGCTTCATGGCCCAGCAACAGATGTTGGATTCATCCTTGATCCTCTTCTCTCCTAGTTAGAAGAGCAATTAACATGAAAGCAAGTTAGGTGGTTAGAATTTAAATAACATGATGGTCATTGCTCTGGACTAATATATACTAGTATATATTGCCTGTGGCTTGCTTTTTTGATACTGACTCTAGCTGGGTACCTGCCCCAATTTAAAGAAGGCAATTTCTGAGATAGAAGGTAGGTTAGGCAGAGAAGTGTATGCCGACTACAGAAACGTTATCAAGCTATTAAATAACAGGATGAGAAGGACTTTTTTGTTTGCTAGCTTCTCCCCAAAGGCTTCCTTATATATAAATAGGTCATGTGGAAAGTCATTTCCTGATCATATTAGGTTCTCCAAGTCTGAAAGTTAGAGAAGAGAGTACTTTTGAGGATCTGCCAACTAATTTCAGGTGGTTTGACATACTGGTGGGTAATACAAAGGCTGAAGTGGTGCATAATTGGGAATTCAGACACAAGCCCTATTAAAATTTAAACTCAAGGGTAACTTTAATGTTACCAGAATTTAACAACAAATAACTAATGAAACTAAAGATATGGCTTAACTTTAGATAAATAGATATTATTCCCTAAATATTAAAATTTTTTAAAGCAAAAAAATCTTACAAAAAGATTTTTAAAATAAAAATATTGGAGTCAATATGTTTGTTTGGAGGGTGAGTATAAATTTTTAGAGAGTACTTTTCAGTGCTTCTCAGCAATAAAAAGGAGTTAATTATTGATATATCAATCAGTAAAAATATATACATATACATATACATATACATACACACACATATCTCAATGTGGAAGATAATTATGCTGAGTGAAAGAAGCCAGACCAAAAAGAGTACATACTGTGTGATGCCATTTATATAAAACCCTAGAAATACAAGCTATAAAAATAGTTTCCTAAGGGTGTAAGTAAGGGCAGGAGTAAGGGATTACAAAGGAGTCTGAGGATACTTGGGGGGGTCATAAATGTTTTCATTCGCTTGATTATAATAATGGTTTTATAGGTATGAATAAATATCAAAAATTATCAAACTGTACACTTTAAATATGTAGTTTATTATATGTCAGCTATACTTCAAGCTATAATAAAACAAAAGAGAAAGATTACAATAAACTCTAATCTTTTGAAGGAAATATGGTATATTTTTGTGGATTTGTATATAAAGGAACTTGAAAGAATAAAATAGAAGGTTTCTGCAAAGACATTAATCATGAACAGAAGAGGATTTTGTAACTGGCTTCCCATACCAGAATACTAGTGCTCCACTTCAGAACCTAGAGGTTATGCAGTTCAGTACACACCCCACATTTCCCCTTTTTTTTCTATGCAATGTAGCAAACTCCATAGACACATTCCTTACTCATCTTTATACCACCCAAGGTCTAGGGTAATTCCTGAAGAGAGCAGATGCTAATTAAATAAATGAAAGCATTGCTATAGTTCAGCACCATCACTGCAAGAAACGTTTTAAAGACCTTTGGTGGAAACCACAAAACAAAAGTAAAGTGATAGGAACTGAAAATAATGTGTTCATACCCAAAAGCAGAGCCACTAGTCTAAATCTGGTCTTGAATGAGTTTGTGAAACAAGGTAGATTCTCTGAATAAAAGAGACGAAACCAGTACATAAAATAATAAGTAATTAGACCCTTCAGAGTCACAGAAATTTAAAATTGTTCCTTGACCATAAAAATGTTTAGTATTATTTTTCCAACTCAGAATCGAGTTAAGGCTTTTTGTTTTGAGAATCAAACACAAAGACTTAGGCATACAATACAGGATCTAGCCCTAGCTGGTTTGGCTTGGTATTTAGATTGTCGGCCTGAAGGGTCTTGGGTTCGATTCTGGTCAAGGACATGTATCTCAGTTGCAGGATGGTTGGGGCATGTGTGGCAAACAACCTATGTGTCTCTCTCACGTTGATGTTTCTCTCTCTCGATCTCTCCCCCTCCCTTCCACTCTCTAAAAATCAGTGGAAAAAATATCCTCGGGTGAGGATTAACAACAACAAAAATCTGGATCTACCTTACATTTTTAAAAAAACTTACATGACCCAATTCGCTTAACAAGAAGGTACTTGAGTTTCTGGGAAAGTAGGAGACAAAGCTCAGATCATAACTATCTTCAAATCTAAGAGTAAGAGTAAAAGGGTCCAGAGAAATCTACCGATTATGGATCTGCCCAGTGTCCAGTTATGGTTCACCACTGACCTATATAATAACAGAGATTATAAACTGTTTTCAATGTTCAATCACAATAAAAAATAATATATTCAACAAAAATGAAAAAAAACACACGTTAGAGCACATATAATTAAAATTGAGACTAGGCCACTGATATTTACTGCTTCCCTGAGATAACCAGAAGCCTTTTCTTGGCAAAATAAACTATTGGTAATTCATTATTTTCTCAAGAAAATCTCATCTATGCTCAGACCAACGGCAGGAAGAGACACATTTAGCAACCTATAGTATTTGTACTCAACCTTTCCCCAAAGAAGTTTTTCTCATCAAAGGAAGCAGTTCTATTTTGGTTCTTACTTCCTGTGAGAAATGCAGGCATGATGTTTGCTGGTGTGTGGCCATCATGCTATTTCTAACTAGCATGTCCATGGTATTACTGGTGTTTTGCAACAAGAAGAGAAATGTCTCTTAACATTTCTTAAGCCATTTTTAAGGCTATCTTAGCCATGTGATTACCTGCAAAGAATGTAAAAGTCCTCAGAAACAATAAAGGAATGCACATGGTTGTGGTGAAGAGATCACAATGAGGGATTTCTAGTCCCTTCTCCAAAAACTACTCAAGTCATTCCACAAACCATGGCAAGTCTTATTTTATTCCTCTATGTATCCTAGAATATTTACATTTTCAGATTTGCTAGCACAGATTTATAAAAGAGATCACCTTAAAAATCATGTTTCCTATAAAGTGACAAGAGTGAATTATATAAAAGTTGTTTTCTCTACTTTTTCAAGACCTAAGTATTCTTATTGCCAATCCAAATTTAAATTTAATCCAACCCCTATGCTGCTTAAATTTTCTATATTAGAAAAAGTTTCCTCATCTTGAATCATACTTCTCTGTCTTTCTAAGTTTGACATATGGTGGGTTTCTTGCAAGATAGGAGATTTTGAGGGGATTTGGATAAATAAAAGAGACGTATGTACTGGATGGGATTTTGTTTCTGGAGATGATGGAGAAAATTTATTGTAGGCACAATAGCATGTCCAAAGCAGTGTTTTGTTCCAGGGATGGAGTTTCACCTGTGGATATGGTACATCTTATATTAGCAGTAGGTGATTCTTTCTGTTGTTGTTTTAATTTTAGGTTCTTAGAATGTCCTGACTTTTTTTCAAAGTCTGTTCTTTGGATAGTAACTTTGATTATATTAACAGCATTATAGATTTATCTAATTTCTAATGTGATAGATTATGGTTGTTTTTTTTTTCTCTTTTAGATCCATTTTTCCTGTCCACCCGTCCTTCAGAATCATTGCCTTGGCAGAGCCCCCTGTTATTGGAAGCACAACACAGCAGTGGCTGGGGCCAGAATTCTTAACCATGTTCTTTTTCCATTACATGAAACCACTTGTCAAAAATGAAGAAATCCAAGTGATTAAGGAAATGGTAAGGGTGAGGCCAGCTCTAGCCTGTTGCCTTCAGTTTTTCTCTTTTTAAGGCACTCTTACCCCTGCTGGAGCAGAACTGGACATTTTTGGCTTCTCCCTGCTTACTCCCAAATGTCCTCATGAAATGGTTCTCAAATGTTAACATTTTGCAGAATCATCTGGAGGATTTGGTAAAATGCAGATGGCTGAGTCAGTAGGTCTGGGATATGGTACATGATAATTTGCATTTCTGAAGTTCTTAGGTAATGCTGATATTGCCAGTGGTCTTGGGAACACTCTTTGAGAACCATGAATGTATTGCTGTCACTCCTCTTTCCTTGTGTGAAAGCAGTTTGGTGGATCCTTTTCCGTTTATATTCAGTCAAAAGTGACTATTTTAAGTTCCTACTGTAAAGGGAGGTTAAATATATTTTAGTTCCTTAGGTTCTGTGGCAAATACCAAGGAGTCCTGGGCTCCTCAGGATTATAATATATCCTGTCCTATACTTACCTGATTAGGTGTCTGGTGACTTGAAGTCTAGGTAATCCATTACTTCAGTGTCTGCCTGAAGCAGGCATTGTGCTTAGCATTTTCTAGAACTATACTATTCAGTGGAATATCACCGGCCATAAAATTTAAAAAACTAGTTTCTAAGTCATATTTCAAGTGGTCAGTAACTACATGCGTTTTGGCTAACATATTAGAAAGCATAGGTAAAGAACATTTCCATCATCATAGAAAGTGCTATTCGATGGTGTTGTTCTAGATCACAAATAAGTAACTTTTTTTTCCCCTGAAAAGTTAACACTCATTCCCCTTAAAATACTAGAATGAACTTTTTAGGTCTTGTCACATGGTGGTGGATAAGGCTGTAGGGTTTTAAAGATAAACAACTCTCCTTTAAATGCCAAATTTACTACTTATTAACTTCCAGATCTTGGGCAGATTATTCAACCATGATTTCTTTATTTGAAGATGGGGATAATAGTACTTCTTATATCAGTGGATTGATTTAAATAATAAATAAGATAAAGTATGTACTGAATAGAACTTAGAATTTTGAAAAGTTTCAGTCACTTAAATGATCAAAGTTTACTTTTGAAATGGCCATGTTTTACCAGTTGTTCTAACATCGCATCACTTTCTGATTTTTTAAATTAAAAGTTTAAATTTATTATTAAGCAAAATTTTCTTATAATTAATTATATATTTAATTAGATTAAAATGTTATAGTTAAGACACTTAATGTGTGCCATTTGGGCAGCTATTCGGAGTTCATTGATAAATTAATCCTATGCCTTGGATATGCAGTTTAAAAGTTCTGAAAAATTGACAGCTTGAGTATCCATTCTTTATACAAGGATACCTTATGTGACTTAGTAGACATAAATGTAAGATTACTACTAAATGAAGGAGTTTGGTTTCAGTAAGAAAACGCCTAAATTAGTTTTAAAAATTATGCTGAAGCTAACAAAAAAGGAAATGATAATTTATGAAAGTTTTTATAGGCATACTATACGCCAATTTTATGCTGGTGATAGAATTGTAAATGGAGAAGAGTGGCTTGGTTTTAATGACCTGATTCTTAAAGGGAAACGGGTGGGTATAAGCATTTCCTGAGAAGATGAATAAGTAAATTTATCCATGAATTAAAGTGTAATCAGAGTTTTTCTAAAAGTGTAATTCTAATATAAGTTACTAAGTAGCCATAATTTATGATTTATTATCACATATCCCAAATCATTCTTTCTGTCTTTCCTCAATTCTCTCATAAATAGGTACCAAATATTCCTCAGGAAGCTTTGGACAAATTGTTATCATTTACACACAAACTCAGAGAGACACAGGATCCAACGGTAAGTCTGGATTTTCTATTGCTGATAGGCTGCTGCTTTTTGTTCTTAGAGTTCAGTGCTTTAAAATCTGTTTTTTAAGCTGGCATTTTTATCCCTGTGTTATGTTTTGTCCTATGCATATGTCGTACTCTTTCAATGATTTTAACATTCTTCTAGCTCCTCATGGCTGATATTTAGCTCTAGAGGCATACTTGGTACTCCTGGGGTTTGGCCCTGTTTCTTCTACCTCCTATGCTGAGCAATTTCATCTATTCTTATGGCTTCAAGTACCATCTCTAAGATAATGCCTATATCTTTTTCTTCACCTTCTAACTTTTCTTTTCTGATTTGCTCTTTATGTATAACTAGAGGCCCATGCACGAACTTGTGCACGGGTGGGGTCTGGCTGGCCCGCCCTGATGGGGGTCGATCATGGCCAGGCCGGTGGGGGGAGGGGATGTGTGACCAGGGGGAGGGGCCGTGGGAGGTTGGCTGGCAGACCCCGCCCCTGATCAGGGTGGGGGGCCAATCAGGGGCCAGATTGGCCAGGGGGCGGGGCTGCAGGAGGTTGGGGGCCGATTGGGGCCCTGATCAGGCCGATTGGCCTCCACAGTGCACGTCATAGTGACCAGTTGTTCTGGTCATTTTGTCATTCTGGTCGCTTGGCTTTTATATATATAGATTGTATTTCCATGCTGGGGTAGTATTTTGGAAAGATCTAGCCTGGCAGC